TAATTTCTGAAATACTTGTTTTACAATAAACTGATATTTTTTCAAATTCAAAGTAGAAATCTCTGAATGCACAAATACAAAAAGCTCCCCACTCTCCAAAATTCTCCTCATAATAAGGGCGGTGAGCCAGGATTTCTATTTACTTACCTTGCTGCTGTCTTTCTTTGTACTTATGAACCAACTGATGTTTCTAATTTGCCTAATTTCGCTTAATTCATATCTACAATAAATATTTTTTTGCAATAAATCATAGTGACTGCTCATTGGACTTATTCCAAATTTAAATCTGCTGTATTTGTGGCTTCACTAATAACCAAATCATGAGAAGAATTTTGAAAAAGTAAAATTATATATACAATTACTGCTGTCCTGCTGCGACCTTGGCACCTGGATGGCTGACCTTGACCTACTTACTAAAAATAGAAGTACGTGTCTGAACTGAACTGAACTCACACAAGGTTCCGTCATCTTCTTTAGGACCTGAAATGTCTTACTGCACTTGTAATATAACATACCATGACTTCTGAAATGAAAGCTCTTCTTTTCTCTCTATCTCTCAATCACACACACACACACACACACACATGCAGGCATGGGCGCAGGTATGCACACACTTACACATACTTTCCAATTCCCATTCTTCCATTTTTTCCACAAGACTTTGGCACATTGCCTACTCATTCCGTTGATCAAATCTTCCAATGTTTTTTCTTTTTTATTCATATTTACCTTCTCAGCAACTCAAAATTTATGAGCAAAATAAATGGGGATCAAACAAGCAGCAGATTCTTACAAAATTGTTTTTAAAAGAATTAAAAGACAAACACATAGCCTACTCGCAGGATTTAATTATCATCTATCACAATTAATTTTTCTCCATCAAATTGATTACCCATTATTTTTTTTATAATCAGAAACAATTTGAGCATCCTGTCCATAATTCACTGATTTCAAGTTTCCCCTTTTGGCTACAATAAAGTATTTGTCAAAATCACTGGCTTTTTGTCTGCAAAAAAACATCAAGCAAACTATGCACTTTCTACAATTTCATTGTATAATTCTAATTCATACTACATTCTCTACCTTCCCTTGCCTTCTGGAAAAAGATAATTCTCCTGAAACCGAACCAATGCTTGATACTTACTCTGCCTCAGAATGCCCTCAAAACGCTGGCGGAATTTCTCCTTAATCTGCCGAACTTCCTCTTCGTGCTGCTGCTTTTCATTGAGAAGACGCCGCACGTGAGAGTGCGTGCTCTGAACCATGGTGTAGAAAGATGTGGCTGTGCGCTTGTTGCAGTCGCCTCGCTCCAACCATGTGACCAAGATGGCGGAGGCTTTAATGAAGGTGCTATCATCTGGAATAAATTAAAAAACCAGATCCATTAACATTACAGAATTTTACGATTTTTATAAATGTAAGCAACTCTGATGTCATCCCACAGCATGCATCCTCCCAGTATAATTTTTCAGTCTCCAAACCACAAACTGTTTTCATCTCTAAAACATCCATTGAAAAAGAAAGGTAGGTACTTCTCTTTCTGTTGAACTCGAAGAATCACACTAGAACAATTAGGCAATTTGTTTAAAGGAAGGCAAAGAACATTAGACATTTTGTCGATATATATTGTTGGTCTGATGAAACATAACTTATGTAGAAAAATACTTAGTATCTTCATATTGTAGTGCAATATGACAGTAAAGATTTCATGCACACGAATATTGTTATAAAGTTTTTTTAAATCCTATTTCATCAATCAATTAATCAGCTGACTCCTCAACAGCCATTAAAAGGACACAAGACAAGCCTAATCAATACCTTTCAACTTTTCTATCAGTGCCTGAGCCTCATGGTCAGAGTAATGGATGGTTGGTGGCGGGCTCGGGGGTCTCAATCTCTCTTCTTCGAGTCTCTCCTGGTGACGCCTTTCACGAAACAGGGCTCTTTCTCTGCACTCCCATTCATACAAATCATCGCGGGCCTGGGCAAAGTCTACATGTAGGCGACCTGTGTTGGGTTTATCTGTCTGTTCCCCTATCTGCATCCTGTACCCTGTGGAATAATAATTATGTTGACTATAAAGGCTGCCTAATTCTGCTTTGTTTTATAGCTAGACTCACTAAAATGCACAATTATATGTCTTTTAGAATAAGTAATGTAATACCTCCACCTTTTGTTAGTCACACTATAGTTTGTGGTTTTCAGAATCTATGAATGTAAACATGTTCTCACACCCCTCAGTAAATTATTATTATCAGGCAGTCCCATTTTATTTTTCTGACTCCCATTTACACTACAATAGCTAATCTTTTTTTCTAAAAACGAAAACATGCTGCTGCCTTTTGATTAAAATTCCAGAACTAAATACTTAATACAAAGAAGATTATTCAAATTGCAGTTATATCAGGGTACAGTTCAGAATTTGATTGCTTCACCTGACAAAGCTATTGCAGCATCCACAAAATGCTCATAGTCAAACCTAACATGAGCAAAGTTCTTCTTGCTCATTCTAATGCTGGTGATGCTACCACAGGAGGACTCGAACAACTCTCTGATCATCTCTTCTGTGCAGTTCTCTGGGAAACCCCCTACAAACACTGTCCTGCAGCCTGGTGGACGCTCTCGCGTGGACGGTGGAGGGGCACCTGGTGAATACATGGTGAAATAGGTTTATTGATGTTTGTGAATAAGTTACCCTAAAGATGCATCTATGAAGATCCACTAAAACACAATGTCCAATCCAGGCTTTTGGCCCCTAGCTTACAAAGGACATTATTTATTTTTAGTAGATCTTCAAAGATGCATCATTAAGATAACTTTTTTATTTCTATAAGATCGATACAGTGACAAGATATGAAGCTTCTTGTGAATTCATAAAAACAATGAAGTACATATTACATGAAGTGTAGTTCATAACACAACACCATACTACACTACTTGCTATGTTTTTGTATTTATTCATCATCCATAATTATATTTCTCAATTGATAGTTTGTACTTCTAGAGTCTGTGTGCAAGCAGGCACTAGGCCAGTTGCATGCTGTGTTGTTAACCTTACCTGGAGGAGGAGGGATGAGTTTAAAGGTCTCAAATGTCAGTGGCTCCCTCTGCTGCATCTCCATGGGGGGCATCGGACCCATAAAACCACCAAACTGAAAAGATGAAACAGACTCTGGCGTTTAAAAAAATTTAAAAGAATCTACTTAAAAACAGTTAGCTTTTCTCTATTTATTTTGCATTTTTTGGTCTTTTTTTTTTACTATTTCTTGATATTTCATTATCATTTTAGTTCATATTACATTTTATAAAAAGAATGTGTACAAAATTTACCCAAAAAAAAAAAAATCCTAAACACCAAGTTTCAAGTAACAAGAAGGAAGCAGTCTGACACTAGATGTCATTTTACAAGACAAGCCCATACCTGTCCGTATCCCATGGGTCCCCAGCCCATCATATTGGGATCTCCCATCATGGGACCAAACTGCATTGGTCCTGCCATCTGTCCCGTCATCTGTCCTGCCATTTGTCCCATAGGTCCCGGCATACCAGGCCCCATTACTCCAGGACTGTGCATGTTCATCTGACTCTGATTAGTATTGGCTGCATTAATGTCCATTAGACCTACAGAAATTGTAAATTAAAAGGCTATAGTTTTAACAAATATATAAACACTTTTACAAAGCTTATCTTGACAAAATCTTTGCATGCTTGCCAAGTTCAAACTTTCCAGAGTACTACTCATTCAGGACATATTGGGTCTGAAAAATACTGGCCCAAGCAGATATGGCAGCCAGTAATTATACAAACTTAAGATATTTATTGGTTCAGTTTCAATATTGCAATGTACAACCTACAACTGAAATTTGGAAAAAGTGTTTTGTTTATTTTTCATATATTAATCCTTTTTTATATGTGTGTGTGTGAGTGTGGGGGGGGGGGGCTACATATTTTCTCACCTGCTCCAGGTACCGGTCCTGGACCCTTTATTTGACCCGGAGGTCCAGCTGGCCCTGTGGGGATCTTCTGCATCTGCATCACCAACTTCTCCTGGTGCTCTTTTTCCTCTGTGGACATCGGCATGGGCGGTTTATTCTTGTTGATATTGAACTGAAGGGGCTGGTTGTTCATGGCAGGGTGCATCATTTGGTTTAGGTGCCCGGGGGGTGGGGGAGGGGGCTGGATGGGGGGCTGGCCGCTATGCATTCCTGAAATATATATTTATACATGTATATCTCTTTATCTGACTGTGCACAAAAGGTAATTTGAAGGGGTCAACTGGATTTAAATAAAAAAAGGGAAATGAATCATAACAATCAATCAAAATATGATTCTTAATCTTGACAGAATTGTTTGCCTGAAATAATAAGCAAAACTGGTGCAACGGTATCATGAGATAACTGAATAAATTATAAACATTGTTTTCCTAAACACCCACATCCGTTGGCATTGTTAACTCATCTCTCAGTCGTAAAATATAAATACTTTTGCATTCCAAGATCATATAAACGCCTCGATATTTATAGTAAAACGCACCTTGTGTTCCGATATTCAAACCCAAAAAGGCAAAAGGACTTGACATCGTTCACCACAGTTTAGTGTTCGCTGCAGCTCGCCTTACCCACCCTTGTAGGTCACAGATTCTGTGTCCTTTCCTTCAATCTGTATATTTTCACCAGATTCAAAAACGGGCTAGCTGACCATCAGTCCAGATGATGCACCTCAAGATTTTGGACTTCCGAACAGCAGAGAAAACAACGCAAAATTTATGTAGGTGTGCTGCAGGGAAAATTCTCTTCCCAAACAATGGAGTCGATTCTGGCATGAACGACACTTTGGTATAAATATATATATTCTACCAACTATCACATGAAAAGTACATGTTGTTTTTAATAAACTTTTAAACTTTGGTGATTTTCTTTTCTATTTGCTCTCTTTTAGCATTAAGTATTTATTAAAGCAAAAGCAAATAAGTACGAAACTTAACATAATTTGGAGATGAACTCTGTAACAAGCACTTCCGGCGCCATGTCAAACCCGAAAGGTAAAAAAAGGGGGCGGGGGAATTTAAATGCACTTTTTGTCACCATGGAAAGCGTTATCTAGATATTTTGTCTGTATTTGTCACCATGTGTTTTGTGTGAGGCAAGCTTGGGTTCAAAATCGTAGTAGTTCATTGTAACATTTTAGAAATTTTGCTCATAACAAGTTGATAATTTCGAATGCCCACTGATGATCCCAAGCCAAATACCGTTATCCGTGCTTCATTTGTGAGTTAGTTAAAAAGTTGACAGTGGCAATCATAAAGAACATCATATTTTGTGCATATTTTGTTATGGATCTGCTGCCGATCAATGTTTATAAGTCAGAATCATATTGCTCTCACTGTGTAATTCTCGCGTCAGTTGAAATTTTACTCGTTTGTCAGCTGATTAAACATTAATGAAGACAGCTTTGTAGTGTTGAAGCAGCAAGGTATGCCATTTATTATGATGCGCTCACCCATATCTGTAGAGTCCAGTGCACACAAATAAGTGTCCTTTCTTAGGTCAGATTACAATACAGTAAAGGTTCACAATAAATGGCATGAAGCAACATTTCTTATAAGTTTGATTCAAACCTTAGTCATTTATGAGTCTGCAACATGAGCAAGAGTCTCAGACAAATATTCTCTGATATACAGCTGATCTTGCAAAGATATGAAACATCAAGAAGCAAACCTGTATTTTACAATACTTTTTGAGTCTGTTATTAGAAATATAGTATAAGTACTTTCTGAAATCAAATTGAAAGTGTAAAGGATATATCCATTTTTTTCTTACAATATTTTCAACAGAATGTTTCACATTTGTATTTATCTTGTATTTAAGTATTTTACTTGGCTTCTGATGTTTTTTTTTCTTATAAGTATCCTCACCAAAGTAAATTATTTCAATTTATAGACTTTCATTTTAATACACTTCTCATATTTGTTTTACAATCTTAATGTTTAATACATGAAGTGCAATTAAAAGGATATGATATAGTCATGATATTCCATAACAATTGTTACATTTCCCATTTTATATTTTCCTGCAGTATTCCCACTGAAATGTCCAGTGCAGACCTACCACTGGGGTAAAGTGGGGAAGGACAGTGAGGTAGCCAAACTGTCCCTCAGTGGAAATTCAGACTTCAAATTAGATGACAAGACTACATATGCTGAGGTATGTATTATGTTCCATCAGGGTCACAAAGAGTTTTTTTTTATTTTTATTTATTTATTTTGTTTGTTTGTTTTTTTGTTTTTTTTTTGTGAGATATTTACAGTAATTTTTCTGGTCATTCTGTGCACATTTGTTTACTACAGTATGTCCTCTGAAATTTTTTTGAAAAAAAAAATGAAAAAAAAAAAAAAAGACCTCTGGGAAAGGGTAAGACAGTATGACATCAGGCATGTCTGCCAGAACTTATTCATAATGTCCTCTCTGGGGTAGCGCTAGCAATTTTTTTCACTTAGCCAAATCACCATTTTTTTGTCAATTTGTTATCAAAATGGTTATAAATTGACTAAATAAAGTAAAATCAAGCCCGTTTTCTTAAGCCAATTAAGGCCAGTTTTAGCATTTGGCTACATTGGCGAGTGTTAGCGCTACCCCAGCCTCTGTTGCAAAAGTTGCTTTCATGGTAACAAAAATACAGAATGGGACCATTTAATAATGTAACATAAAATATTTGAAAATTTGATTGATATGATGATTTACTTACAGCTATGGATGGGCACACACCACAAGGGGCCATGCATTCTAGACACACCCAACATGGATAACACCACACTGGCACAGTGGGTGGCAAAGAACCAGGATGACCTAGGGTCCAAGGTCAAGGACAAATTTCAAGGTCAACTTCCATATCTCTTCAAAGTCCTCTCAGTGAACATGTCCTTATCAATACAGGCACATCCAAACAAGGTATGATTGTCCACTTGATAACTGAAAGAGTGAAATAATTTCAAGTACTTTTTTTTTTACTCTCAGAGATGACTGTTTTGGAATATTTAAATTTAATTGTCTGTATAGTGCACATATTTTGCATAACCCATTTTCTTCTTATTATCGATATTATTTTTTCTATTCTTTTTTAATGCTGCAGCAGTATTTTACCTATCTGAACATTAATATTCAAGTGATAATTTAATGTCAACAGTGACCTTTGTTAACCTTGAAATGACTTGTATTGACCTCTGACCTCCAGTCCCATGCTGAACAGCTGCACAAAGACCACCCAGACAGGTATCCTGATCCCAACCACAAGCCAGAGATAGCAATAGCACTGACTCCCTTCCAAGGCATGTGTGGTTTTAGGCCCATAGAGGAATTGGTTAAGTTTTTAAAAGGTGAGAAATCACAAGTGTAGAATTTTACACAAAGTAGAGAGAATCTAAGCTGTAACACACTGTTATACCAGGTAGTTATAAATTGATAACATAAACTGATGTAGAAAAAATCAGGTTAAATGAAATATTTTGTAACCAGAACAATCACCACTTACAGTAAATATGGTAAGAAAATGCACTACCCCCCCCCCCCCCCCTCCACAAACACACACAGAATTATTCATTTTTTTAATCCAGCAAACCCAGGGTGCTTGTCAGTATGGACTGAGAAATACACAGGTCTGCACATCAGCATCTATTGTCTAGAAACAGTGAAATCTGATCAGTTTAGTTTTCTTGTATTTCAGCAATCCCAGAGCTCCAGTCAGTGATAGGCTTGGAGAACGCACAGGGAGTTATCTCAGCCTCGTCTGGGAAAGCACAACAGGCTGCTCTGAAACAGGCATTCACTGCGCTGATGTCATGTGACCCCAAGATCGTAGAGACAAACTTACAGGCACTTATTAGCAAGGTTCAGGGGAGAGGTGAATATGTGGTTCAGACTATCAAAATGTCTAAATTTAATTCCATTTATTTGTTTGATCATATCTACAAATGTTACTTCGTCACTGATTTGAACATGTTTCAGTATACAATCATGCATAATATCTTAAATGAGCAGTTTGTTTATATTCCTTCTAAATACACACTAACATTTATCACTTTTTACACTAGTCACTATCAAAAAGTCTGAAGATTGTTTATTTAATTTGTTTGAACACATGTACAAATGTTATTTCAGAGTAAAACTGTACTATAGTAAAACATTTATATTTTATTGGAGCAGTTTGCCTATATTCCTTCTCAGTAATGTTATTTCATCATATTTCAGTGTAAAGCCATACTATAGTAAAACATGTATATTTTAACTGAGCAGTTTACTTATATTCCGTCTCAATACACACTAACATTTGTTACTTTCTGCACCAGTTGCTGCCAAAGAAGATGTGAGTGATGTGGAAGGAGAACTGTTGTTACGTCTGAACCAGGAGTTTCCAGGAGACGTGGGCTGTTTCTGTATCTACTTCCTCAACATTATGAATCTACAGCCTGGGGAGTCCATGTTCCTGGAAGCTAACCTGCCCCATGCTTACCTCAAAGGAGGTAGAGTTAAATAAAATATATATATTTTAATTCATGTACATTTTCTTACTTTAAGGGAGAATATCTCTTCAAATGAGATTCGAAATTCTGTAATAAATACATAGTAAACAACACAAAGAAATATAATGAATTTTATTTTACCACCAAAAAGGAGGTTGTAACAATTATTCTTAAATCTGTGCTTGCCATTGGATGACATGGACCTTCATAGGTTGCCACAATCTGTAATAATCTCATTAGTCAATCAACTAACCTTTAATGTCGGAATGGATTCATTATCCCAGTATGCACAGTAAGTATTTGAAATTCATTGTTTAACAAAGGGAAGTCCGTTTTCGGCACTTTTCCCACCAAAATGAAGAGTTGTTATCCTTTATGTTATTCATACATGGCTATGAGAAAGCAGTTCTCTTTTTAAGGGAAGAAGCTTGATTATAACAGCAATTTGAAGAAGTTGTATTCATCATACCATTTTATATTTCAGATTGTATCGAGTGTATGGCATGCTCAGACAATGTAGTACGGGCTGGCCTTACCCCAAAATTTAAAGATGTTCCTACACTGTGTGACATGCTTATCTATGAACCAAAGTCTGCCAAAGAAAACCTGTTTGACAGCATGAAGGATAGCAAAGACGGCAACATCACACACTACCAACCAAATATACCTGATTTTGCTGTGGATAAATATGAGGTGTGTATGAAGTTAATAATAGTATGTTTGCAGTTTACCAGTATGTTTGTCAGTGTGTGTGTTTGTGTATGTTAATGCAAGAATGGCAGTGAAATAAACTGTATTTAGGATGCAAATATAAACTTAGGTCAGCCTATCCAAACATTGAATTTGTAGTTATCTGATTTCTTGAATCAAATTTTATATTATAATTTTCATCACATCTTAGTGAATAATTCGTTTTAATGCTCTACGCCTTCCAGCTCTCCCAAGATATCAAAGAGTACACCATCCCAAGTATGGATAGTGCCAGCATTGTTCTAGTTATAAAGGGAGAGGCAGAGGGAAAGAACCAAACTCTAGGAGACAAGGCCGTTCAGCTACAGAGGGGAACTGTGCTGTTCATAGCAGCCAACCAAGAGGTGCAGCTTACTCTGAAAGGATCAGATATACTCATGTTCAGGGCATATTGTGGCATATAGAATGTTTTGATAGTGTATATTTTAGTATATATTTTAATATACATGAATATTTGAGGTAGCCTATAGGAATTATTACCTACCAGGGTATTGGCTTGAAGGTGTGTTTAGATATAACTTAGACTGAAACTTACATGGGAGAATTGTCAGGTGTGTTCAGATTTAACTTAGACTGGAACTGGTTTGGGTCAAAAACGAGTGATAAGGCGAGCAGATTGATGATGAACCTGTAATGGAACACCTTTTAAATTTGTAGAAAAAAAATTACCATCTGCAAATATTACCAGATCAAGTGGGTCTAATCATTTGTTGGTGAAAATTCTATTATAAAAGTGCACTCAACAAAAAGCACTGAAAAATACATGTAACATTTGCATCTAGTTCAGGCCCAAAACTTTTCAATTAACCCATATTTCTCTACTCACCTCTCTCTGCATTAATACCCTCCAGTAAAATTTAGAGCCTAAGATCTATCTTTTTCAAATAAAAATCTAGTGACACATTCTAGTCCTAAACTGGTTCTAAGTTTTGTCTTAGTATGTCTATGATCATGGCATTCACATTATTTCCCTGTCCCACTGGTTGGGGTGTATGTACACAAAAAGGAAAGGGGGGGGGTCCTAATTGAAGAAATATTGTTCCAAAACAGTAAGTTTTATTGACAACATGTTAAATGTATTGGGGTTGTACCCAAATGGGAATATAGAAAAGAAATGGAGGTTTGTTATTGTTTCTAAAATATGTGTGGAATGTGGCAGTGTTATTAGACTTAGTGGAGTTTTATGAGGGGAGTGTGTAAAAAGTGTCTTGACATAGCTCAAATGGTCTTTTTGGGCCAAATTTTCATAGTTACAAATGTAGAGCTTGCCTGCATTGAAGAAAAGCAGGGATAGGATATTTCACTTGCTTTGAAACTGTGATATTTATGGTTGAGGTACATGTATGTCAGTCAAGAAATATATGGTTGGATTTTAAGTGAGAGAACCAAGTTAATATCAGATTTTGGGCACAAGCAATCATCTCTGGCAACGTTTTAACATCAGCATTTTCTAAGTCAACTTACTGTGATCTTATTACTTACACAATCAAGTTGAATGGAGATACAATGTACACACATGGTTTTGATTTGTTGGAAAAAAAGTGGCTCAGTGGCCTTGTGACAGGGGGTCTGTGGGCTGTTAAAGGTGGAAAACTGCCAAGAAAAAAGGATCAGGTTTCTGATTAAATTACTGGGAAAATCATGTCTGGAGTTTTGATATTATATTTTTGTTGGAACATTTAACTCTACACACATCACTTATTGGGGCAGAATTGTGTCAGTGTTATGGTTAACAAATAAAGGTTACAATAAATAAACAATAAACTGGAGATATTCCATGTGTTTATTGTTGAATTTTCAGTATGCATCATAATACAAACACGATTCTCCAAACATTTCTTCCTTAAGAATCACATTTGGCAAAGTGAGTAAAAATCCTTACTTGAATTTTAATGAGATACTTATCCTAAGCAGAGATTGTTTTTGATGTAAAAATTACTTGATCCATCTGACCACTTCAAGTGATCTTGGATGTGATCAGATATCTTAGATTTGTGATTCGCCCTTTCCTACATTTCCAGGTTTAAAGCAACTTCTTATGAAATTTTCTGCATGTGTCTTTTCACATATTGTCCTCCCACAAAGCACTGACATGTTCAAAGAGCATTCCAAATTCTTGATGCAAAAATCACCTCCGCCCTGTTCAAATTTGTTACACAAACTTTCACATTTAATTGCCTATTAAAAGGCTGTCACTGTATGAGACTGATTCAACTACCATATTTGATCATTGTAACTTAAGACTAATCTCAATAACTGTCTCCACATGAGATAAGATCATCATTTTTTGGAGATCTGTCTATATTTCGTGTATCTTCATGACAGTCCCCACTAATGTTCTTGTTAGTGGAAATCTCCTCCATATATATTGTCGTGTTGACAGGGAGAGTGCCCATATTTGGTATGTCTCATCAAAAGCCTCCCCATATATGGTCACGTGACAAAGGAGAGCCCATATTCGGTAACAATATCTGCATGATGGTGATCCTGATATCCAATCATGTTAATGATGAGAGTGGTGGAAATGGATTCTGTTTGCTGACGACGACTTTCTGGTGCTGGTGGGATATATAGCCCTTGATTTTACCCTGCAAACAAATGACAATTGTCAAGATAAACAAGTAACAAGTGTAAGGTTGTGTTTCTTCAAGAAAAATTCTGCAATATTTGCATGCCATGGTCCACAGGGAATACAAATGTCCGAGGTCTTCTAAAGGTGACAAAAATTATGCTTCAGATATTATTATAAAAAATAACCTTAAACAATGAACACAAATTCAATATCAAGTAAAATGTTTTTTCGCCTAAATTTAAGGAATGAATTCAACAGTTTTTTCCAAAGTAAAACAGTAACAGAACATATCAAGGTATTATTTCTCAATGCTCGTTAAAAGCAAAAAAAAAGTTAATAATGTTACTTACCTCATAAATCAAGTTGGCTAGTATACACTGAGCTTCATCATTATCAATGTCCTCCACCTAAAACAACAACAACAACAGCTCCACATTCACATTTCATGAGATCTTCATTGCACACAGATATAGTCTTCATTACTTTATCTTAAGGACAATCACAACAAAAAAGATAATGTTCTGATCAAAACTCTCATATAACCATCCTGTCACCATATTTTCCTCTCGAGCAAAGTGTCTAAATTAATGCAGACAGAGATGCGTTTAAGTTCTATTGTTTGGCAAAGATGCTGACAAGGCAACATGTAAAAAGACCCCCACGCACACAAACAGGAGGAAAGTCTGAGAAACCCTCACCTGCATCATTCTAAGAGCCACCACAAAAGCATCTACTGGCAGCTGATGTGTTTTGAGGATAAGGTAACTGAAAAAACAAGAAAATATCATCTCTTCATAATATCAATATATAACATTTTCATTTTTCAATAGGTGGTTTTGCACTGCACAGCCATGTTTTAATCTATCAAATTATACTCAGATTTTCAAGATGTGCTGTGTCAAAGTTGTGTTCTCAAATGAAACAAAAATAATGAAATTAAAAAAACTGTGTTCACCACATATGCAAAATAGAAAAGCTCCATCTGTAACACCGATATATTTTCAGAAAAATTGAGCAAAATCACAATACTCACACTTTCTTGAAAAGATTCCTGTATGTTATGATCTTTAGTTTTTCCAGTATCAGGTAAACACCACACTTGATAAAAAACACCTCATGTTTCTGCATGGCTTCTGTGAGTTTCAGAAGATTGCCAGCTCTAAAATTGATTTTTGCGAATAAGATAAGTAAATTGAATTCATAGTGAATTTTAATGCTACAGAATATCGAAGAAATTTAATAAAAATATTCTGCTAAACAAATAACCAGTTTATTTAAATATATTATGAAAATGTTTGCAAAAAGCAAAATGAAAGTTGTCATTGGACCGAAAAGTAATAATAAATAATGAAACCCGTTCAATCATTTACCAATGATTTGACCTAAAAATAAATACAGACTTTTCGATAAGCATTAATGTTTTTTAATAAATCAAAATTGAAGACTAAGCACAGTTTCTATGTCAAAAGCATATAATAAACATGGAATAGGATGTCTCCATATGCAAAGATGATCCCGTTTACTCAACTGACTTACTTGACGGCCTTCACCACATCAGCAAACTGGAGGAGATCATACTTCAACAAAAGCTCAATCTTTGGCATGTGACCCTGAAATGGATGCAAATAGGCTTACTTTTTAGTTTTATTAACCCGTTTGAGATATATTACTGAATGATATTTCAATATAAAAACTGTGCTGTTGATTGTTTTAGAGGAATGTATGAATATACTAGTATACATTTTTTCACAGAATGCTTTGGCTGGAAAATGTTTTATTCACTAAAGCAGAAAGTTAATTTAAGAAAAAATCACAGAAGCTGTATTTTATGTTTTCACAGCAAAGCAAATCTAGGATGAAACTTGTGATTTTGATAGTACAAGCAGTCTTGCATTCATTATGCCAATTAATTGCTCCAGTTTACTTCATTCTACCCAGCTTACCAGAAGCATCTTCACAGATAACAAATAAATGAGGATGAGTCTTTTGTTTCTCTTGGCAGACTGGTGGCACCTCTCAAATGCGAAAGTTAAATATTCCTCAGCTGCAGAAGAAAGAATAATAATATCAACAAAATGAAATATTTAAAAAATAGCATCAACTGCACCTAAGCTTCAGGATAAAGCAACACTTTATGCAAGCGGCAAACAGATAATGTCAAAAAAAAGTTTTTTTCCACTATTTTAAGTAATATTGTTTGCCCTTTATAATCCCTGTTATACACCTTTACTTTTTCAACAACACAATCCCCTCTTCCTATTTAAAAAGAATAGAATTTTTAAACATTTTGAAGTCAATACCAAACATTGCTCTTCTTGATAGTATTTGTCAAAGACGATTTTTTTTTAATCTAAAAATTGCTTGTCCCACATTCAATTAAAATATGATTGTTACCCGTTTTGAAATCACTGTCAAACATGGCTTTCCTTCCCACATAATACCGGAATGTGATCATCTGTGAAATACTGAACCTGTCCCTGATTGGTAAACTCTCTATAGCACGGATGAGGGGTTTGCACAGGTGGAGTTTATTTATCTGTAAAAACATTTCCTTTCCACCCTTAGCAAATGTAGCAAGTTTTACATAACAAATTGGGCATTTCTGTGTTGAAAAATGGCCGACATTGAAAAAGATTCCATTTGACTGTAAAAATATGGTGCTTTAAGTTCTTCATTGTATGAGAGAATTTAAATTGAAAACCATTAATTTATATTTTATGTATATATTAAAACAAAATAAACATGCTGGGCATGTTTTAATAATTGTATGCTGAACTTGCTAACCTTGAAGTATATCTTAAACAGCTGATTGACTATATTTAACATTCCCCACTTTTTAGAATCTTCTACTGCAGCACGACTGAAAATGCAAGGCATTTGTGGATGGAGTGTGGATTTTCAGTAACACATATAAACCACTTGTTATATGACTAATAAAGTCAACATGGCAAGGGAATTAATCACTCGATCAACCATAAAAGAACTTTAAACTATACCTCCTTCAATTAATTAAGTTGTACATGAGCTTATATCTGCACTCTGAGTGTGAATATTTTGTCAAACCAATTCTCATATGATGTTGGAGGATTCAAGATGTTTGATGGAATTTTAATTATCAAGCCTATACATATGTATACACCACCAAGATGAGTGTGGAGCATGGTTTGAAAAAACTCTATATTATTATTATTATTATTATTATTATTATTATTATTATTATATACTGACTTGTCACTAGCACACACTCTGAAGATCTGCATCAAGAGTTCTGCAGCTTTCTCCAGCATGTCCCCAGGCTTGCCACGCCCCCTTTTCAACAACTGGATGTCAGCCTAGAATTTCATAAAAAAGCTAAGATTTAGAAATGAAATAAATATAAGCAAAATGATATCCATAGAGCAACTTATTGTTCTATGTCCAGACATATTTAATTTTTGTTTTTGATTTTTAATATTTCCACACAGCAATTACAACTTAAAATTTTTTTCATCAACTTGGTGTAGATATAGTTCAAAGATTGTTATATGTTTTATGAAAGTTTATGTGTGGTTGCCCAATCATCTAACAGGAAATAAGAATTACAGTACTCACTTATTGAAGGCATACACTCTGTTCGGCCTTAAGCTAATAATGTTTGAACTACATAAACTTGTCAGCAAGCGTAAAGAAAAAACTCAAATATTGTCCACTCATCTTTTCCATGGAAAACAATCTAATCTAATATTAATTTTTGGCTAGGTGTTACTACTTAGCCCCCATTCCATCTGTCTACATAGACAGATCAAACTATGTGGGGACTCTTGCTGAGTGCAATCAGCTTTTTTGACTAACATGCCCCCTCCTGACATTGAGTTGTTACAAAAAAGCTGATGATTATTTGAGTACATAAGAAACAAGAGGCATGTCATTCAGTTACGCTGATTGCAATCAGCAAAAGTCCCCACAAAGTTGAATCAATCCACCTAGACCGATGGTGTCTATGGGAATTTGGCCTTACACTGTTGGCAAACAGCCGGAGGTCCAGGCAGACAGCATACATGACAGGGAGACTCCAATTCTCATCTTTCTGAGCTTGAAATATCTTGTTGAAGGTTGTAAATATTTTGTTAAGGGAAAGAAGACAACAATTTTTCTTTTGTTTGTTTCTAACTAAATGACAGCTGATGAACATGAATTTCAGTC